TCGCACGAATTAACTTGCTGCGTTGTGCGCAACTCTGATTCGTTCGACGGCCGCCCGGCCTTCTCCGCTTCGTCAGGCCAAAGGCGGACCAGCGGTGGGAGGATTAATTGCGCGGCCCTGGATAGGATCCGGAGACAACAACAGATGGTGGTCTGAAACTGCTTTCAGAGCTCACATTGGCAATATACATCGGTAAGTATCTATCCGCATGCAAGGTCTTTGAGCAGAATAAATACTCATTCGAGGGGTGTTGTAAACTCTTACAAAATGCAGCTCGACAATTGCCGCACGTGTTGATTGGCGTGCTTAACGAAAGACTGCATGCAGTCGGTATGAGCGAGGGACAGCTTTCGACAAGTGTTTTGCAGTACACGACAGGTTATGCGTTGCAGTACACGACAGGTTATGCGTTGCCGTACAGAACGTGTTGCAGAGCAGTACATTACAGGCGACATTCAGAATTTTTTATCTTAAAAGCTTTCATGAAAAAAGGATAGCCGGGACCGACTGCAACGATGAAACCTGAAAATCTCCGCCGTGTTCAAACAAAACTTGCCAGGTTGTGGCCTACCTAATGAAAATCCTAATCGTTCCAACGTCTCCAAAACCAATGGTTAAAATTAAGCGTGAGAACACAAAATTAGTTTATGGCTATGGATGTTGGTGTTGGTGAAGAAAAGCCATGACAGAGCCCATCTTTCAGTAACGCGCATTTATTGATTATAGCTTAGATTTCGACAACAACTAACGGAGAGCCGTTTTCAAACATCGAAGTAACATGCGTTGACATAACTGATGTTGTATTTGCAAATTGATTATGTCACACAAGAGCAAAGTGTGCTGCTCGTGCAAAACATCATGCCAACACTTGATAAAAGAATGATTCTAAAATTGATGTGAAAGTCTGTCATAAGGAATGGAAAGACTGTCATATGGGATGAAGAGCGCTCCTCGCGTGTTGCGAATCCATCATCAGTTCATTTGATGACGAGCACTGCATTGTGACATTTCTAATCAATCTGCCTCGTACAATATCGTGTGTCACCATATATTGTACAAGTACAACTATAGGGTTGATTTGTCTAAGGGAATCAATCACATGTCACGGTATTGACATGACGATATTTTCAAACACTTTTTTAACGGATTCGTATCTACTTCTGAAAAGGATATTTCGATATAATGCTGGTTATAATATCCCTTAGCGTGCACTACCAGTTGTCATGAAAAGAACACCGGATTCGGTGTGATATTCATTATGAAACGATGAATTGGCGGCTGACAGCCAGCACTAAAAAGTGCCTAGATCTTACTAGCAAAAAGGAAATTTTGTGAAACTTCATGCTCAATTCCCGACAAAAATATGTGCGATGCAAAAGGCTTCGTAACATTTCGGCAAGCGCTTTTGAGCAAATGTGAAAGTACAATTCTGGCGTGCTTGTGTTTTTATGTCTCAGAATACAGCATACCCCGGCATCAAACGCCGTACCATTACCATAGGCGAGAAACACCCCGTTGCAACTGATGAATAGTGGCGAGGTGCGAAGAGAAAGCTCTAACACCCCTCACCCAGGTATATTCGTTTCCGGGGGGGCGCAAGCTGACAAGCTGTGAACAAGAAGCCTTGGCCCTTCCCATGGCACCCTTTCCCGGGTGCGAAGTCAGTCGCTTCCGGGACTCATTATCCTTCCGAGCGCTATTTCTGTGAGGAGTGCTGGACAAGGTCTTACAAGGGGAAGACGGACATCTGGTCAGAACGGCCATTCTGGGAAGCTTGCTTCATCTGCATCGTATTAATGTTTTCCAGTGATATAAAACAAATCACATGCATTTCAAAATTCGAGCATTATTAGCTGAGCACTTGCAATTTTACGTGGTGTGCTATGTGTTAGGGAACCATATCTCTAACAACTGACGGGATGGGTTCGACAAAGGAAACAATGTTGCTCATAACTGCACTCATGCTTCTATTTACGACTTACTGAGCTGTTTTCTCATCCTATAACTCGCGATAAAGTTACCAAACATTTCGCATAACAAAATGTTGATTCGTTTAGCAGCCTGTTACAAAACAACCTCTGAAAAAGCATCGATTGTCGATAAGGTATGTTCAATATTTGATCGATGCTGTGCTAAGGTGCTCATTCTGTGAACAGCTATTGCTGCCTGTAGCAAAACATGTCATTGTGGGCTTATTTGCCTTTTATTTCAATAAAATGGGCTATGCGGTCTTAATCTGGCTGTTTCAAATCCCATCTATTCGCTTTTGAAATACAGGGACAGTTCATCAGAAGATGTGTGTAAAGTGCATAATCATCAGTAGAAGGTGTTTGCCAGTAGACTTTAAGTCAGCCCAAACACACGTTTGGTTCGTGACACAATCTCTTAAATAGGTGTGCCAAAGCAAACCGCTTATTAGGGTTACACTATTTTGCGGTTTTCTGCATTCTCATTACTTAAATTGCGATCATGCACATATAAGCTTGTAACTTCATCCTATAAGTCACGTATACTGGAATCGATCCTGCGTTTACAGTTTGCATAAACGTGTATTCTAGGTTTTGGTGTGCATGAAAGAACAAGACGTTGTTGATTGCTTATATCATCTTTAATTGAGTTTTTGAAGCCGTGTTTTGGATGCTGCCCGCCAATTTTATTTGCATATATATATATATATATATATATATATATATATATATATATATATATATATATATATATATATATATATATATGTAATGGTAGCCTTTGAGTATCTGTTGTAAAGAACTCCGAACTCTCCAGGCAGGCCAGTTTTCAGGCACAGGATTCGGTCACTGAGCCCGCTTGCCAGGCACTAAAAAGCTGTTATCAAGCCACCTGGCTTTTCCTAAACAAGAGTGAAAGACGAGAGTTGAGAGACACTTTCCCTTAACAAGAGCGCTAAACAAGAGTGAAATTCACACCGGTCTGGTAGCTGCATGCATTTCAGGTAAACAAAAGAAAAAAATAAGGGCGCAACTTGCCTATGACCCACTAAATCTATTATCACTTTGATAAGGGGGATATTTGAAGCGCGTATACACGGCGTGCTACCAACATCTGTGCACCGATAGTCCAAATCCAGATGTAAGCAAACTTAGTCCTGACCAATCGTGGTTGAGGAAGACACCGAAAAGCAGGTACTTTTATGACTCTAAAAGCCCAAGCAGCCGAAAAAAAGTTTGCCATGAGAAGATAAGCAGATTATCCAAGTTTGTGATATTTGTAGTGATCTAAAGAAAAAGTTTTCAAAGGAAGCACATCATGCGGTGGGGTCCTGCCGCCGCTACTAGCCGCCTGAGGCGTCGCCTCCGTCTCCAGCAGGGTCCTAGCCAAAGGTCCTGGCCAGTCGACGTTATCAGCCCTAACACACGTTTGGTTCGCGACACAATCTGTAAAATAGGTGTGCCAAACCAAACTGCTTATCAGGCTTGCACTATTTAGCGGTTTTCTGCGTTCTCATCAGTTGAATTGTGATCATGCACATGTAAGCTTGTAACTTCATCCTATAAGTCACGTATACTGGGATTAATCCTGCGTCCACAGTTTGCATAAACGTGCATTCTAGGTTTGGGTACGCATGAAAGAACAAGACGTTGTTGATTGCTTATATCATCTCTAATTTAGTTTTTGAAGCCGTATTTTGGATGCCGCCCGCAAATTGCATTGGCATATAATATATATATATATATATATATATATATATATATATATATATATATATATATATATATATACCAGTTTTCAGGCAAAGGGTTTCGTCACTGAGCCTGCTTGCCAAACACTAAAGAGCTATTGTCAAGTCATCTGGCTGCCACGTGGGCCGAGAGCTGATCCTAGGAAAGACAAACTTTTCCAATCGTAAACATCTAAGAGGTGTTTACGACTGTATACGATGAGATCGGATAAGAGATGTTTACGATTGGTTACATCATGGCCGCGCACGAATGGTGCTTTTCGTACATCTGAGAGCTTTTTGTTCTTAAATTTATCGTTAAAATTATCAAGTATTCTTTAATTGATTTTGAAGACCTTGTGTGCAAAATACTGTTCACGATACTCCGGGGGTCATTCTGATAGCGTACGGCTACTCCACCGCCAGCGGGGACACCATGCTGCAAGCTGTTAAATGCCACTCGAACCTCTATCCTTCGCAGCCATTTTGCGGCGTGTTGTCAGTCGTTTCCGCAGCTGATTATCCCTTCCCCCGCTGACAAGGCCTAACCGAGGGGAAAGATCGCCGGCAAGGGCTGGCCGGGGCGTCACTCCAGGAAAGCTCTGCTTAACTCTTTCGGCAACGCCAGGACGGTTTGGACGGGAAACGAGAATAACAAATACCAATATGATTACCGATTAGGTGAACGGCGAAGAACGGCTCTGCACACTGGTGTTAAGGAGCTCTGCGCTAAATAAAGCACAAACGCAGTAAGTTGGATATGCCAGCCTTCCCAGCACAACATTTAGAATAATGGCCTTAAGCTCGACGCCAAACAAGATTGAAATTCACACCGGGCTGGTAGCTGCATGCATTTCAGGCAAACAAAAGAAAAAATAAGGGCGCAACTAGCCCATGACCCACTAGCTCTATTGTCATTTTGATAAGGGGAATATTTGTAGCGCGTATACACGGCGTGCTACCAACATTTGCGCACCGACAGTTCAAAGCCAGATCTAGTAAAACTTAGTCCTGACCAAGCCGTGGTTGGGGAAGACACTGAAAATCATATAGTGTTTTATCTTTTAAAGCTCAAGCAGTCTAAATAAGGTGTGCTATAAGAAGATAAGCAGGCTATCCAAGTTTGTGATATTTTAAGTGGTCTAAAGAAAAAGTTTTCAAAGAAAGTACATCATGCGGTGGCGTACTGCCGTCGCCACTAGCTGCGTGAGACATCGCCTTCCGTCTCCGGCAGGGGACGTGATGCTGGCCAAGGTGGTGTCTCTGGGCGACGCGCTCTCCTACGTGCGTGTCGGCGGCCGAGAACGAGCTGGGCGTGGCGCTGGCGTACCGCGAGGCCGGCCACCTGATGGTGACCGTCAGCTGGACCGAGACGGCGTGCCCGGCCACGCAGACGCGCAAGCTGCGCGAGGTGGCCAAGATCCCGCATGTCTTGGAACGGGAGATACGGGGTTGGATCAACTATCAGTGTGCTTAAATTACCTCACTTTACCCTATATGACCATACCACATGCAGCCTAGGCACATTTTAATGCTTACGTGCAACTTTCATTAGGAACAGGAGCAGTTTAAATTAACACAGACCATAGATAAGACAGAAGCATTAGCCTTGTTCCTTGGAGAAAAACCAGGAGAATGGAGATATAGTTGGATTGATATTTCAGCAACATGCCTTTGTCAAAACCCTAGTAGAAGTGAATACTAGAGGCTGGTGACAGCAATCTGCAACAATCACAGGATGATGGAACCTTGTCCATTGGAACAGTAATCAAAGATATATTGATTCTAAGACAAAATAGTTATTTCATACAAACGCTGCGTAGATTGAAAGCATGCAGTAAGTTCTTCCCTCAGTATTATCTGCCAGCAGTAAGACTAAAATGTTCATTAACTGGGCTAAGGCCAAAAACATATGGTTTTTATTCAAAGCAGCAATATACACAGTCAGTGTATGGCAATGACACATTCATGCGTACAATGGGGTCCTAGCAATATGATGTTATACTTCGTACCTCACCAGGGAGTAATTTTTACGGCAGCTGCACACAGGTCTCAGCTGCACATTTTTAGTTCTTCACTTGAAGATATAAATAAAAAGCAGATACATGTAAACACGTACCCGGGTGTTTTTGTTGTTGGTGTTTTCAGGTGCGTCGACTGCAATGGTCATTTTGCCCCATAACGATGTTTTTAGGTAACTGGTGTGGTGTGAAAATGAAATGAAAGTCAACATCTTTTACGAAAGAAAAAAGTTGCTTGGATTCAAGACAGAAGGAGCTGTCACCGAGCACATCGCTAATCGTCAGGGGCGAAACCTGCGGACCAAAGTGACGTCGTCGTTCTTCGATGTGGCACGGACATGATACAATGACATGTTGGATAGTGAAAACGGCACCACACTGACGGCATAGGGGTCTGTCGGCTCCATGCAACAAATAGCAATGGGTGGCATACGTGTGCCCAATACGCAACCTGTTTAAAGCTACTTCTTCCGGGCGCACACTACGAGAGCATGACGACTATAAGTCCAACTCGGTTTTGATCGCCCTGAGCTTATTGCCGCCCACCTGATCCCAACAGCGTTGCGATTTGCTTTTGAGAAAGGTGTTGACTGCCGGGTAGAGAGCTCTGCTAGGGATCGGCAAAAACCGGGTACATGGTGCCAGCCGCCACGGGGAGCCATCAAGAAGTCCAGGATCGCAGCGTCCAGTGATCATATCGATGATGATGATTTGGGGTTTTCGGGCGCATCGACTGCTGTAGGTCATGCAGCGTCCATAACTATCAATTTATGCAGAGCCGCCAATCAGGCAAGTGCATCAATCAGGTCACGCTATAAAGGCTTGATGATCAGGCCTAGTATAATGATGAAAGGGTTATTGGGAAATCTATAGCGCGAAGAAACGGGAGCACTTTACCAAACTCGACAGCGCGCGAAGAATCCCCTAAAAAGAGACATAGCGTGCGACTCTGGACGTAGTGTCCATAAAACTGCGCTCTCGTTGCAGTAAGGTGACGGCAAGCGACCAGTACGTGATGCACGGTCAGCGGGTCAGAGCATCGCCTGCAGCATGGTCTGTCGCCAGCCAGTAGCAGGTGACGGTGCGTAGCATATGTGTGGCCTATGCATGTAAACGGCAAAGGGCAACTTCTTCCACCCTAATGTCCCGAAAACACGACTGCCATAGTCCAATACGGGGTTTCACGGACTGCAGCTTGTTAGCGCTCAACGACTTCCAGTGGAGCTGACATCGCTTCTGCATAAACGACGACACTGCGGGGCACATGTCTTGAGCTGGTAGTGGTGTTATAGAAATGCGTATGCGTATGTACCTGTCGTAGCGCGCTTTGCTGCCGCGTCAGCAGGATCATTTCCGCGGATCCCACGTGACTTGGGATCCAGCATAGCACGACCGTTTTTCCTGATCGATCTAGCGAGCTAAGACGCGATTTAATATCCTGGACCAGTGGATTTGACGAGGGGAAGCCACCAACAGCCAAGAGACCGCTCAAGGAGTCGCCGAAACCGGTGCACCTGCGGGGGAGTCGGAAAGAATCAAATGCAGGCTGCTATCGTCCACTTCAATAAAACAGAGAGCTTTGATGATGGCTATAAGCTCGGAAGTGAAGACCGACGCGTGTGAGGGCAGTGTGAATGGCCGTGTTGTGGATCCACGCACAAAAGCGCACCGTTCACCTTCATCCGTCTTCGAACCATCTGTATAAGTCATCATGCACCCGTGAAAGGAGGCTATGTCTTCTAACGCTGCGGCTTTAAGTTTCGTCATGAGAACGCGCTGCTTTTGCATGTTCGATAGCGAAACATCCACTCTTGACGATGCAAACTCCCAAGGAGCAGTGTTCATGGGTTTAGGTACGATGACACGTCGTAGGTTGAGGTCGCTTGCGTCCAGAAGCTATCTCATTCGTGTACAGAATGGAGAGGTTTGTGGCGACCGTTGACGTAGAACAAGCCTTCGTAAGCTACGCGAAAACACTGCCTTGAAGGAGGGATGATCTGGGAACCGCGCCAGTTTGCACGTGTAGCGCAGTCCCAGCATCTGCCTTCGCAATGCTAATGGGGGCTCGTGAGCCTCCACCAGAAGACAATCTATGGGCGATGTTCGAAAAGTTCCTGTGGCGATACGTAGTGCGGCGTGATGCACCATGTTCAAAGTATGTTTGATCTAATGAACCGTCATAGATAAAACAGCTGTAGTCAAGTTTTGAACGAATCAGGGAGCGGTATAGGAGTAAGAGTGTCGTCCTATCAGCACCGCATGATGTACGTCCCACGCACCTTAGGATATTGAGAGATTTTAAACATTTGTCGCGGCGATTTCTCATGTGCTCTCAGTATGTAAGGCGTCTGTCAAATCGTATACCGAGAAATTTCACGGTACTGTCATTGGCGACGCGTTGCCCATACCGCCTGATTTCCATTTCAGGACAGTGACGGTAACGACAACAGAAATGGACTGCAGTTGTCTCCGATGTGGAAAGCCGGAAACCGTTGAGCGCACTCCACTTCTCCAGACGTGTGACAGCCAGCTACAGCTGTCAGCTGTAGTCAATGATGCTCCTGTTCTTACGGAATCTGCACTGAGCATTCGTAAAAAAGTTTTGACGTTCTTAAGTTCACGAGAGCCGCACATTCACCATTCTTTCCACGAGCTTACAAACCAGACATGTGAGGGCGATCGGGCGATAGTCAAGGGCGTACGTTCCACTTTTCCCGGGACTTAAAATAGGCATTACTATGGCCTCTCGCCAGGTTGGCGGGAAGTTACCTGGCTCCCATATACGGTTGAAAAGTGTCAGTACAGTCCTGCAAGCCCTGCAAGTCCTTGGTGCTTGACCTTGCATCTCTACAGTTCCACTGTAAAACTGACTGAATGAGGGGACTTAAAAAGCACTGTGAGTTTTTAAAAGAACTCAGCGGCGCTAGAGCCCGGCCCATGGTTGTTGGTCCTATCTTCAGAACCCAAAGAGATCGGGCGGGTCCTGGACCGGATCCGGGGACTACCGCCATCTGTTGGCGAAATTGGCCCCGGCGGACCACGCTTTTCCGAGCGCCCCGTCCTAAACGGGGCCGGCGCCGGCGACGCCGTGGTCCTAGGTGGCGGTGGTGGTGGAGGACCCATAGACGGGTCTCTCCGCAAGTCGGAGGGTCCTGAGGGAGCCTCAATGCGCTTTCGGGGAAGTGGGACTTCCTCCCTCGTGGGAGCAGGCTCGGGGCCCGCACCCAACAGCCGACTGGCTGCTCTCGCCCTCTCCTGCTCCTGAAGGCGTGCACGCTTGGTCTCGTGCGCCCGTCTCTTCGCCTCATGGCGCTCAGGGTTGTCCAATTTTCGTGTCATCGTCTCACCCAGTGCTGTAGGACGTGATGCCCCTGGGGAGGACGGTTGTGGAGCCGATGATCGCGTGCTTACCGGCGAAGACCGGAGGTTCGGCCCCGACGGACTACGGTCCATTCACTGCTTTCCGTTGGTGTGGGATGAGGCGGCGAGGTAACAACTGGCGAGCTGGCCTATGCCTCAGAGGGGGCACAGGGTGTCAATGAGACGGGGAACGACAATGTTGCCGATGCTGTGGCGTACACCTGAGACGCCGGTACAACCGACAGCCCGAACGATGTATGCAGTTAAATTAATTGCGTTCCGGTCATCTGATCTAACGAGATTTCAGGTGCAGCAGGAGCCTTGGCCGTTGTGGCATATGATGTCCCAGGGTGGCTCAGTTCATATAGATCCCCTGCTTCACGAACTGAGATGTTCTTCGTGGTTTTCAGTGTCATAATCTCCTCTCTGGCGTACGCCGGGCATGCACGATCGAAAGTAGAGTGAGGTTTCTGGTTTTTACCACAGCTCACACACCATGGGTTCGCTGCAGTGCACTGATCACTCAGGTGCTCCGGAGAAGCACACTTACCACATGCTGGCTGGTTGTGGCAGAAATCCCTTGTATGTCTAAACATCTGGCACCTAAAACCCTCATGGGGTTCGGAATAAAAAGGCGCACCTTCATCTTCACACAGCCTTCCCTTACTTCAGATGGCATGTCAGGACGATTAAAAGTCAGCACAATGTTGTTCGTGGAGGCAAGCTCCGCACCTCTGCGCACCTTGATGCGGCGAGCATCTGTTACCCCCGAACTCGGCGAGGCCGTCGACTATTTCCTCATCACTGACATCTTTCATGTCAAAACCTTTGACGAGTTCTTTGTCCTATGAACCTCCACAGTCATCGCCACTGACACGCCCTTTTTCCCTTCCACATCCCGCACACAGTACAGTACCTACCCGAAGTCCCGGCGCGTTTCGCTTCCTCTCCGTTCTGAAACTCAACCTCGATCCCACCGTCCTTGAGCTAATCGCATCGGAGCACCTTTACAAACCGATCACACCCATTTCACCTTTGAAAGGGCGAAAGCGACGACGGCGGCTTCTTGGCACTTCGGAAAACAAAAGATTCGAGG